ACTCCAAAAAGAGTACTCCTTCAAGGACAAAGACGTTCCAGCCATCTTTGAATCCCTCCTTGAAAATAACAAGATCAAGCTACCACCTATCACAAATCAGGAGGAAACTGACAATACGGCGGATCCAAATTACTGTGCGTACCACAGGAGGGTCCTTCATCTCACCAATGATTTCTTTGCTCTTAAGAATAGCATCCAAACCTTGGTTGAAGACAACGTCATAACGCTGGGATAAGCCAAATGAGAATGGCGACACTCCGACAAGTATACGAGTATAAACTGCTTCTTAATACTCCAATAGGCACACGAGTCTAAACTGTTTCCCACTTTTGACGGGAAGTTCCTGGAGAATATTACGCTAATATTCTTAAGGATAACCCGGTCATGTAACTAAATATAATGTCGAACCAGTTCCGCAAAGGAAGCTGGGGGTGGATGATTTATGTAGTGGGAAGTTCTCGGAAGAATGCTACATGTAACTTTCTTAGGGATAACCCGATCATTACAAATAAAATGATAAACACTAAACCCACCATGATTTCCGAACACTCTTTTGCTGAGACGAGATTCGATCACTTCGTTGGATCAATCTTCCCTCACAAAACTCTCATTGGTGTTTGACGACTCACAGTCTTCCACCATAAAACCCCCACCGATCAGACTAATTGACGGTGGGACCATCAAAATTCCTTCTGGTTAAATCCGCTCAAACTTTCGCTGTATCTGTGCACTCAACATCCTCAATGTTAGAGTCCGGACATGGTACTCAGAATTTTAATGTCTTAATCCTTGACGAATTGTCAAACCCCTTGGTGTTAAGTATTTCTCACTTAACATCAGGAACCTCCTCTGAGTGATTTGTACAAGTCAACACTCCCACTATGATTTGTACTCCCACTCCCACTGTCCACTTGGTCAAACATTCCTATAGTTAGGACCACAACCAAAATCCCCTCTCGATTCCTCCAATGATCGAGAGGTCCACAAATCGAGCGATCAAACTTTCCTACAGTTAGGGTCACCTCAAACTCTCGCTTGGTCAAACCTTCCTACAGTTAGGGCCAAAACCATAATTCACTCTCGATAAACGAGAAATTTATCTTTAGTTCGGTAATCAAACCTTCCGATAGTTAGGGTTATCCGAATCTTTTCGATTCTCGGAGTGGAGATCCCACTCTTAGTTTCACCTGCCCGGATTCTTGAAGTGGAAATACCACTTTGAGTTTCTTTTGCACTGAAGATAGAATATAAAATTCTTCCTCTTCGGTTTCGGGAGATAGAATATAAAATTCTTCCTCTCCCATTTTGGGTTCGTCTTTGCCCCAAGAGAGGACACAATATTTCAACATTATAACTTCAAAATCCACACCTAACACGTGCGGGGAACTTTATCTCGACTCCTAAACAGAGATAAGCCTACGCCTAACACACGTTGTCGATTTAGTCTTTCACCGATTGAAAAAGACACCAGAATCCAGTCTGGGATATTTTATCCCGAAGCATAAGTAGGGATAAGTCAACGCTTAACCCGCGTTGCTGGGTGAATCGTTCCCGTAAAAACGACCGAGTCTACGTATTCACTATCGTAGCAACAAAAATCTATGCCTTTTTATGCATGGGGAATTTTATCCCGAATCCTGAGCAAGGATAAGTCAACGCCTAACACGCGTTGCCGGTTAGTTCTTAACCGTAAAAAGGACAAAAGCCCACATATTCAACATTGTGGTAGGTTATTATTCGTAACACCAAAATCCGTGCTTCACACGCACGGGGAATTTTATCCCGAATCCTGAGCAAGGATAAGTCAACGCCTAACATGCGTTGCCGGTTAGTTCTTAACCGTAAAAAGAACAAAAGCTCACATATTCGACATTGTGGCAGGTTGTTATTCATAACGCTAAAATCCGTGCTTCACACGCATGGGGAATTTTATCCCGAATCCTGAGCAGGGATAAGTCAACGCCTAACACGCGTTGCCAGTTAGTTCTTAACCGTAAGAAGAACAAAAGTCCACATATTCGACATTGTGGCAGGTTGTTATTCATAATGCCAAAATTCGTGCTTCACACGCACGGGGAATTTTATCCCGAAGCCTAAGAAGGGATAAGTCAGTGCCTAACACGCGTTGCTAGGTAGTCTATTCCCGTAAGAAAGACGAAGTCTACGTATTCAATATCGTAGCACTAAGAGAGTTAACTCTCTTAGCACAACGTTACATGTGAAAACGGGTTTAAACAATTCACATGCTAGCCCTATTCAAACGGTAGTCGGTAAAGGCACGTCAAATCCATTGAAGGCTTAGGATTTGCCAAAAATCCTAAGTCTACGTCTGATACACGTTGCTGTTTAGTCTTTTCACAAGAGAAAGATGAAGTCTACGTATTCAATATCGTAGCACTAAAAGAGTGTTGCTGTTTAGTCTTTTCACAAGAGAAAGATGAAGTCTACGTATTCAATATCGTAGCACTAAAAGAGTTAACTCTTTTAGCATTCAATATCGTAGCACTAAAAGAGTTAACTCTTTTAGCATAACGTTACATACGGAACGGACTTAAACAATTCGTATGCTAGCCCGACTCAAACAGTAGTCAGTAAAGGCTTATCAAACCCGTTGATGGTTGAGAATTTGCCAAAAATTCTATAAATACGAGTCATTGACGCATCAGCTTCATTAGTTGGTCTCATGACTTGAGCATCCAACAACTTCGGGATAAGATCCATACATGCAGATAAATTAGCTTTAATAGTTGGTCTTGTAGCCCAACATTTGGGACCTCCACGCTCCAACGCCTTAAGAGCTTAAACTGTGTAGACTCCAGCAAACGTACGAGTATAAACTGTGTTAACGCCGGTCAACGCGTTATAACTAAAGTCAATGCCGGACAATGCGTTACAGTGAAGGTCGATGCTGGTCGACACATCAACAATTTTGCCAAAATAAGGCAAAGGATGATTCCAGGGAGTTCAATTGCACTCAGACATGAATTTCTGACGAAGATGATCAGTTCAAAGTCAACTCAAAGATAAGAGCTAAATTCGGAAACTTACACATCAACTTCAATCCAAGATTTCGACAACGGTCAGACGATAAACGCAGCACCGGAAGAACTTCATTTATTCAACAAAATACTGAATAGATTGAAGGCTGAAGGAGTCAATAATTGAAACAGTTCACAGGTCCCTCTACGAGATTGAGGAAAAGGTCTATCTTATCCAAAGCATTCCAGACTGCCCTATAAAAGAACGAGTCTGAAATTCTTTGCAGGGGGTATCTGTAGGCGTCAAAAATTGCCTATAGGTCCCCGAATATAGCTCAAGACAAAGAGAAGGCGATGAACGTCATTATCCTAGTCGAAGAGGATTATCCGACACTGACAAGCGCATGAAGCGAATCGGTGAACCGTTGATGACACGACAACGAACCACCACAATGGCAAACGCCAAGTGGCCCGCACGCGTCAATCAACTCAAAGCGTACAAACGCGCCTAACAGTCAGTTAGCACGCGCACATCATTCAGCTCGCGCGCGTCAATCAGCTCAGCGCGTCAAGTCATTCCGCTCGCACGCGTCAATCAGCTCGCGTGCGTCAATCAAACACGCGCCCAACAATCAACTCGTGCGCGTCGGTCAAATCGCGCGCATCGGTCAACTCACGCGCGTCGGTCAAATCGTACGTAGCGTACGAATCAACAAGACGATCAAATACGCAAAACGGCAGAGAATACATGTCCTAAAAAATCAGAAAATGAAAGTTTAGCAAAAAGCCAGACTCCCCGCACAGGCGCGGATCAGTCGGAACTGACCCGCCAGGCGGATGGCCGCCCCGGCCCGTGGGCCAGGGGGGCGGAGTGCCGCGAGTCTGATCGAAACCGACCCCGCACGCCGGCGGGTCTAGCCTCGGGGTTCAACCGACGGTCACCGCACCATCCAGTATACGTCGCACACCTGTCTGGTCGTCCGTACGGCATGCGCGGCCTGTAGGGGGCTATGGTCGGCGCAGACGCCGACTGACCAGTGGGGCCAGCTGCCTGTGGTGCCAGGCTAAAGCGTTACTGGATCGTCGTGGCCTTAAGTGTGGGTCAGTTGAAACCGACACGGGGGTTCAACCAACCCGCGCATCCGCGGGTCGGATTCCGCCGACTCGCGCCCCCCAGAACTATTTCCACTCCCGTTCGGTTTTTGACAGTTTTTCTTGGGATTTTTTGGTTCCTGAGCATCCCAACTGATCTGATATCATCCCTAAACATGGTTAATCAGTTATTAACTGAAGATAAAGAGAAATCATTTATTCTGATCCAAAAACCCCCCAACCGAAGCTTATAAATACAGGCCTAGGGGCTCATTTCACCAGGGGGATTAATTATCAAGAGGAGGAGGAGCTGCCAGATTGAGGAGTCAAAGGAGCACGAATTTCAGCGAGGGTTGACAGATCTTGGCGAGTTCTTCGGTATAAAGGAGAGTTCGAGAGATCCGACGCCCGTTTCCCCTATTTCCTTGAGATTAGGCTTGGTCTTGATCTCGAGAAGAGCTACTGATTTTGCTTGGTTGATCTCAGCGCTTCAAATGAAATACTTCCTCGGCAAAGGCGGAGCTCTGCCGAATTTTCAACAACCGGATCTGATCGACGGTCGTCCACGGATAAACCCCGGCACAGGCAAAGATCCCACGCAAAGCAGCCCTCCAACGGACCACGCCGTCACAGTTCGTACGAACGCTCCTCTCTCTAGAAGAGCCCGCCAACGGCGACGACAAACCCTCGCCCAGCGGGAGGCCCAAACATTCGCCTCCTATGACAACCTGAATCATTATTCAGGTCTGAGAAATGCAAAACGGAGAAGCAGCCCTCCTAACGCTGATAGGCTCACCAAATCAGGCAAACCCTCGCGTTCAGACGGACTTCACTCTAATCGTAATATCCCCCGTTGTGACGGGTCCGATATTTCTGACAAGTTTGGCCACCCAGACGAACCGATCAAAACGGACAAGCCCGCCAACTCAAATGGACTTTGTTTCTCAGGTCACATCCCTGATGCAAACAGACTGCCCATATCAGCTGCACCTGCCCGAGCAAGCGAGCCCTCAAAATCAGGTGAGCCTCATCGAGTCCACTCGATGGGTAAGCGTCACGAGCGAGCGAGCCTTGTCAACAAAGGCAAAACAGTAGGCAAAACCTCCCAAACTCGCTGGCATGAACAAAAGGTCGAGGTTCGCCGATAGGCAGGAACTCGCCCGAGCGCAATGACTCGCCTGTCAAGGCGAACTTGCCTAACTCCAACGTTTAACCATTCTGTCCAGTGTACGCAAGAGGGTTCGTCTAAACCTCTCTCTTGTAGTCGCTTGGTTAACCACTCTGGCGCTGGGGTTATTTACCAACCACCTGCAGAAGATCTTCGGGGTTACCTAACTTGTAAACGCATCATACAGGAGGCGGATCCTCAGTGTCACTGTGAAAGGCTTATCCAACCGGTACTCGTCGACTGCCAGTGTGTAGGAACGGCGAAACCTTCGGTATTCGAAAGGCTTGCTCAACGACCTTCCCAACCGAGATCTTCTCGTCGAAGGCGTAGCCGCCAAAGAAGGCGCACCGTTGTTTGGGTTACACCTCCTCTTCGTCGAAGTTATGCTATAATCTCGACGAAGACTCCGATGACCCCCGCTCAGATGATCAATCATCGACATCCTCGGCATGGGACTCGGAAGTCAGTATAGGAGATTGGTTCAAAGGTCTCACAGTCAACATGGCCACGACCGATCCCACCAAAATGATAGAGGACGAACAGGTCCCGCTTTACGATGAAGCATGGGACCACCATATCAATGCTCAGTGGAACAGTCGCTTCAAACAGCACGAACCGCCCACGGAGGACAAGATACTCTAGATAAACATGGGTGATGAGACCAGTCCCAAGCCCATATTCATCAGCGACAGTTTGCCTTTCGAGGAGGAGGACTTCATATCCCTCATATGGGAATACATCGACGTCTTCGCATGGAATTACGAGGATATGCTCGGACTCGATCCTCAGATTGCCATGCATCACCTCAACATCAGTCCGGATGCCAAACCAGTCAAACAACAACAAAGACGGTTTCACCCACAAATTATGGAGGCAATCGAAGCCGAAGTGAAAAAGCTGATCGAGTCTGGCTTCATCAGAGAGGAGTAACACCCCGATTGGGTGGCTAACATTGTTCCGGTCCTAAAGAAGAATGACAAGGTCCGTATCTGCATCGACTTTAGGAACCTCAACGCCGCCTGTCCGAAGGACGAATTCCCTCTACCCATCATGGATGTCATCATCAACAACACGTGTGGGTTTGAGAGGATGTCCTTTATGGATGGATTCTCAGGATACAATCAAATCAAGATGCACCCTGAGGATGAAAAGCACACCTCGTTTAGAACTCCGATGGGGGTGTACTGCTACACGATCATGCCGTTCGGACTCAAAAACATCGACGCAACCTATCAACGTGCCATGAGCATGATCTTTCGAGACTACCTGCGGAAGACAGTTGAGTGCTACGTAGACGACTTGGTTGTGAAGAGTCGTGACAAAGATGACCACCTCCAAGACCTGGGGGTGATGTTCGAACTCATGCGAACTCATCAACTGAAAATGAATCCCACGAAATCATTCTTAGGAATGTCTAGTGGTAAATTCCTCAGATTCATCGTCACAACAAAGGGAATCCGTATCGATCCCGATAAGGTGCAAGCCATCCAGGAGCTTCAACCTCCCTGGAATCTCAAGGAATTGAGAGGACTCTAGGGACGATTGGCCTATATGCGAAGGTTCATCTCAAATCTTTCGGGCAAGTGCCAACCCTTCTTCAAGTTAATGAAGAAAGGCGTCTCCTTCGTATGGGACGAGCCCTGCCAACGAGCGTTTAAAGAAATCAAAGCTTATCTCTCAAACGCACCAGTCTTGGCAGCTCCGATCTTGGGAAAACCATTCCTCATCTACATATGAACCGTGGAGAATTCTCTTGGCACTCTCCTGGCACAAAACGACAACGTCAGTCATGAGCAAGGTATCTACTACCTGAACAGAATGCTACAGGGAGCCGAGCGGTGGTACCCTATGGTCGAAAAGGAATGCCTAGCCTTAGTGCCCGCTATCCAGAAGATACGACACTATTTGGTCGGCCAGACCATCCATGTCATTTCTTGACTGAACCCCATTCGGGTCTTCATGACGCAACCTGGAGCCTTGAATTGGCGCCTAGCTAGATGGGCACTCCTGTTGTCCCAGTACGACATCCACTTCATGCTGTAGAAATCGGTCAAAGGACAAGCCATTTGCGATCTCCTGGCCAGTCATCCACTGGAAACAAGAACCAACCTATTTGAAGACCTAACGGATGAACCCCCCGAGGCCAACACGACCTCTCCAGAGGAGGTTTGGCAGATGTTCTTTGATGGTGCATCTCACGTCAGCACGAGCGGATCTATCATGGCAGGAGTGAGGGTGGTCTTGATCTCCCCACGCAGCCATATGTTACCCCGAGCCTTCTCCTTAATAGAGCCATGTACCAACAACGTGGCTGAGTACAATTCACTGCTCATTAGACTCGAACTGGCTAAGGAACTGGAGATAAAGTACCTCGAGGACTATGGTGACTCTCAGCTCATCGTCAAGCAAATGACGGGAGAATATGAAGTCAGAAATAACGATCTGATCCCGCTTCACAAAACAACTATCAAACTAGCTAAGTCATTCAAAAACTTTTGCATTGAGCATGTGCTTTGTTCCAAGAACATGCACGCGGATGCCCTGGCGTCCTTAGCAGCTAACCTTGCACAGCTGCTAGGAATGACTCAATGTGTCACTGTCGCAAGCCGACGACCCTTTCGGCCGGAGGATGTTCTGGAAGTAAATGCCACTCAACAGACTTCGGGTTAACTTGACCCGAAAGATTGGCGCTTCCCAATCATCGACTACGTCTTATACGATATACTGCTCGAAGACGCTAGGGATTGAGAATCTGTCCGCCGACGCGTCACAAGGTTCTATTACGACTCGACCATGAAGGCATTGTATCGTAGGTCGTATGACGGCATGTTGCTGCGATGTCTTTCAAAGACAGAAGCACAAGAGGCTCTACGTGAAGCCCATGACGGTGCTTGCGGGGCTCACCAGGCCGGGCCAAAGCTCTGGGATCGTTTACGAAGGATAGGCTACTACTGGTCGGGAATGGTTAGCGATGCAATCGCCTACGCCAGACATTGCCACACGTGCCAAATCCATGCTAATTACATGTACCGTCTGCCGGAAGACCAACATCCGATAGCAACGTCGTGGCCGTTCGAGTCGTGGGGAATGGATATCGTCAGGCCGACATCTCCACCATCGGCACGAGGTCACCACTTCATCCTCGCAATCACCGACTACTTCTCCAAATTAGCGAAAGTTGTTCCCCTAAGAGAAGTCAAGACCAATGACGTGATTAGATTCATCAAACATCATGTCATTTACCGATACGGCGTCCCCAGGCGTATCATTCATGACAACGGCACATAGTTTATTAGTCATGCATTCACCCGGTTCTGCGACAAGTTCAAGATACAGAACGTATCCTTTACGGCTTATAATCCCTCCGCAAACGGTCTAGCCGAGGCCTTCAACAAAATGATCGTTAAGATCCTAACCAAGCTGACCTCCAAAAACAAACACGATTGGAACGAGAAGCTTGGCAAAAGCTTATGGGCATATCGCACGATGGTTCGCACACCGACCGACACCATGCCTTACTCATTGGTATACGGCTGTGAGGTTGTGCTACCCTGGAAGTGCAGATCCCATCTCTTCGCGTCGCCCTCGCAACAGGAATGACGGCAGAAGATGGTCATCAATGGCGTCTCACGGAACTTGAGGTACTAGATGAGAAGCGACTTGAAGCTCAACAACAAATTGAGTTTTACCAAGCCCGAATAGCCAAGGCCTTCGAAAGTCAAGCATCGATCTTTCAAGGAAGGAGAGCTGGTCCTCACTATTTGACAACCAATGATTCTCAACTCTAAAAAGAAGGGCATATTCCAGCCCAAATGGAAAGGACCGTTCGTGTTAGAGACAGTCTATTCGAATGGAGCCTATTATTTTGTCAAACCAAATGGCGATAAGATCATGATGCCTATCAATGGCAAGTTCTTGAAGAAGTACTACTCTTAGAGATCCTCCAAACTCTCACAAGTGCACGAGTCTAAACTACCCTTTCACCCTCCGACCAGGATGCGAGGCTAAACTGTCCCTACCTCATATACTCTATCATATACACGAGTGTGAGACACCGCTTACGGGGAGCCCCCGGAAGATACTACGTATAGTATTCTCAAGGATAACCTAAAACCCCCATTCGGTCAAACCTTTCTACAGTTAGGACCAAAACAAACTATCAAGTTAATCCCCACCTCTGATAGTCATCTCTCTATCAGTCTCATTCAACTGGACGATGGATCCCTTCAAACTATTAAGTTAATCCCCACCTCTGATAGTCATTTCTCCGTCAGTCTCATTCAACTGGACGATGGATCTCTCAAAACTATCAGGTTAACTATTTACCTCTAACAATTTCCTTCAAGTTTTCCCCGTTAGTCCTCTCCAATAGGATGACACGACAAACTCTCACTGTCACGTTAACTATTACCTTTGGCAAAATCAACTTACCAATCCTCTCCAATAGGATGGTAAGCCCATAGAGTTTCTCACATCGCAACAAACAGTCCCATCATATTAACTATTACCTCTGGCAAAACAAACTTATCGATCCTCTCCCATGAGATGATAGGTCCTCATAGTTGCTCCGATCGCAATAAAATTCTATCATGTTAATGATCACCTCTGTTAGCCGGCCCCGTTATTCCCACAAATGACACTGCCCGAGTAGTAACCTACTATGCGACGTGTTGCTACTCCGGTCGGTCGTCACACTCATACGTCCCTGAACGACCCAACCTATTCCTAACACTCATACGTCCCTGAACGACCCAACCTATTCCTAACGTTCTAATATTCTCTTAGAGCAATCGATGGGTAGCAGCCCACCATGCGACGACTCCTACAACAACCGATTGCCACACTCCCACGTCCCTGAACGATTCGATTATCTTGACACCATCATTCCCGCAAATGATAGTGTTCATTGGGGCCTCTGACCAAACAACGTACTTCATCGGTCCCCGAACGGCAACTTGCCAAACAACGGATTTGTGTTGGAACCCTAACCAGGTCGCACACACAAATGACCACACTAGCTGGGCTAGGTTGTTAGCGTTTAACAACCCTACCGCACCTAAACTACGATGTGACGGTCAGAGTTAACCCAACCCTACGCGTCGAGCAGCCGAAGGTAAAGGAGGGGGCTTAGAGAGAAGCCTAAGAGAAACTCCTCAACAACTTACCATACGGAAGAAAGCAGTATGACTAGCCCGACTTAAACAACAGTCAGTGAAAGCGAATCAAAATCATTGACTGCCAATGATTTGCTAAAAGTCCTAAGCATGAACCAACATAGAAAATAAAGAAAGGCTACGAATGCAAAACCAAGAATAATCAAAAGCATAAAAAGCCATTCCAGACAGAGTTTAAGAGCAGCATGGTTTAGACAAACATGTATCAAACATCAACAACATTACAACAATTCGTAACAGAAAGGAAATATCCTAAATAAGATTCAGCAGACTAAAGGTGGCGATCCTAGCCTTCACATCCGCAAGCTCCGCCGCCTGTCGAGCTTGGACCTTTTCCTCCTGCCTCTGTTGGAGCTTAGGGACATCCGCAAGCTCCGCCGCCTGTCGAGCTTGGACCTTTTCCTCCTGCCTCTGTTGGAGCTTAGGGAGAGCAGCCTCAGCGTCCTCCTCTTCCTGGCACAGACCTTGGAGGGCTTCCGACTCCTCGGTAGCGATGCGAAGTACCCTTGCATTCTCCCGTTGCAACCTCGAGAGGTTCGCCTCCCCCTTGGTGCTCCCAGCCCCCATGTCAAAGGTGTCAAGATAGGCGTCCATTTGGTCCAGCAAGTCGTGGTGCCTTCGACGCAGATGCTTAAGCTTAGCCTCCTTCTCCGAGATGGTCCTCTCTCGAGCTTCGTGTTCGAGCGCCCTTTGAAACTGGGCACTCATCAGCAGAGGTGTTGGTTCATTGTTGGGCTCGGCATGCGCCAGTTCCTCTAGATGGTACATGAGCCCTTCCAGGCGATGAAGCTCCCGCTTGCATCGCCTGGCAAGTTTAGAGCCACCCACACGACGGATCTCCTCAAGGCTGTCGGCCACAAGAGGGAGCATGTTGTAGTACCTCCCGCAGCCCTGGCTAATGAGAGTAGCCACCCATTGCAAGGAGGCCTCCAGCTTCTGAAGAAGGCCGTACACTGAGGAGGGGCCCGGAACGGCCAACCCCTGAATCGGGTCGACATGGGCGGTCAGCGCCACAGCAGCACCATCAACCACAGAGGAAGAAGCAACCTCCTTCCCCTTAGAGATGCATGATTTCGCCTCGGAAGCTATCTTGTGAGTAGGAGGGATGTTCAACTCTCGTTAGATGGAGCCTCTTGAGCGTGAATCGTCCTCAAGAGGACGGGCGAGCTATTTGAATGGGATTTCGACAGACGAGATCCATGAACTCGAACCGAGCAATGGTTTTGATTCTTCGGGGCGTTTCAAATTCTACGGCCATGAAGGCCCTGACCTTTAGGATCCGAAACCAACGGCTCGGATCAAGCACAAAGGCCGAGGTGTTCCATCACTTTACATTTAATGCGAGGCGGTGTGCCCACGCAGCCTTAGCTAGCGAGCACAAGGGTCCACAAATAGACGCGTGGCATACTCAACCCGACTTCATCTATTGCAGGGAGTTCACCAGTGGCATAAACTCACTGAAGCTTGAGTTCGCCTGTAGCATGAACTCGCCGAAGCTTGAGTATGCCTATGGCATAAACTCGCCGAAGCTGAAGTTCGCCTGTGGCATAAACTCGCCGAAGCTCAAGTTCGCCAGTGGCATAAACTCACCGAAGCTTGAGTTTGCCTGTGGCATAAACTCGCCGAAGCTGAAGTTCACCTATGGCATAATCTCACTGAAGCTTGAGTTTGCCTGTGGCATAAACTCGTCGAAGCTTGAGTTCGCCTGTAGCATGAACTTACCAAATCTTGAATTCGCCTTTGGCATAACTCTCCGAAGCTTGAGTTCGCCCGTAGCATGAACTCACCAAAGCTTGAGTTCGCCCTTAGCATGACATCGCTGAAAGTCAAGGTCGCCTATGGCGCGAACTTGCCTAAAACTCGGAATCGCCTAAAGAGCTAGATGTTGGATAGCAATACGCAACAATAAAAGCAAAAAAGGAGTACGTACGCCATACATTGAGAAAATGTAAAGTTCATTTATTAGCAGTTTTCAAGACAGTACATTTGAACAAAGTTATGACTTTATAATCGAGCAAGTCATAACATTACATTGGAAACAAAAGATTGAACAAGACACTTTGAGTTTAATCCTATCCTACAAGCTTAGCCTAGAAAACTAAAAGATGCGAGCTTTGCCTTGACCTTGGATATCCTCTCAGCATGGACTGCACGAGCCTCGTCCTCGGCCTCCTGGCTGACCTTGGCCTCGAAAGAAGCATTAGTACATCCTCTCAGCATGGACTACACGAGCCTCATCCTCGGCCTCCTGGCTGACCTTGGCCTCGAAAGAAGCATTAGTACAGCATCTTTTTGGCGCAGCACCGGAAGAATACGCCTCTCCCGTGCAAGAGCGCCTTGGATGGTCTCGCTCTGAATGCGTAGGCCCGTCAAAGTCGACTCCCCCTCGGCATGAGAGATCCTGCCCCAAACAACTGAGAAAGCGGTGACCTCCATCTCAGCCTGCAGCAGACGTTACCGGTTACCCAGGTGGGCGATGAAGGATTCCTTGTCTTC